CCTCAGAAATAAACTCACAAACTGAATTAGGGACTATTTAGTGCTGGTTGTGTGCAATCGGCAGTCGGGCAGGAAGCAATCGACACACTGCTGATTCGCGAGCCACCAGCCTCACCCTCACACACCTCATCATCTCAGCGTTGCCCGTGGCTCTGAAATGCAGCACATCAAAACAACCTGGAAGTTCCATTTACGATACCCGTGAACCTGCTGACTGGCCCCAATGTCCACCAGCTGGCACTTTGAAGAGCACCTCATCTCAGTCGCCTCACTCTGAGTGGTCCTGTGAGAGAAGAGCGATGATGACACATTCATGAAAATGGCCGCTAACAAATATAATAAATAAACTGATCTAAACTTAATTTGAAGGGGAGAGGGGGGGGGGGGGGGTTACAAGGGATTTTTTTCAAATGCATAAAACTCTATTGTGACCATTTCGAAGAACTCCTGTTGACCCCCGAGCCACTGGGGCAGCGTACCAGTATCACCACGGTTTCAGTCGCCCGGGTCGCACAGAAGGAGGTGCTGGTGTGCGATGCGGAGTTTGTTTTGTGCCCATCTGGCAGGGCCGGGTTTAGCCCTAATCCCAGAGCCCCTCAGCGGGGGAGCCCCCAGTCTGTTGATCGCTGCCCCCCTGCTGGCTCGTCCACACTGGTGACCTCCTCAACGCGGAAACACACACACACACACACACATACACACGCACACAACCCTGTCGCAAGGGAACACGGCTGCACTCCGCATCAGCACATGAAGTGCAGGGCGGCATGTGCACGCTTAGGTCACGGAACCTTCGTATTTCACAAAACGCGCTCTCGTGCTTTCTCAGGCATGTGTCAATATTGGGTGTAGGAGTCTTGCTGTCCAGCAGCTCCGGTACACAAATATAAACACAAGCATAAACAAACACCGTGAGAGACGAGACGAAATGCGACCCCGAACAGGAGGACAACGCGGAGACGCATGCAGAGGGCGCGGGGACTTGTTTTTGTGTGGGAAATGTAGAAACAACCCTTTCATCACTCACACACACACACACACACACCTGGAGACCGGGTAAACACACACACACACATAATTACAAAAACACAGACCGATAGACAAACACAGAGAGACACCCAGAAGCAGTCACCGAGCCATACGCACCACACACCTCACCACTGATAATCCCCCAGACACAAGAACACACTCACACACACACAGACAGAGCATCATTATGTTTATCACTGTGAACCAGCCCACCGACACCCATCACTCTAATTCCATTTGTCTGTTTAGATTCGTTTTGCTTTAATCCTCCCTTGTTTGTGCACATCTGCAAGCGGCGCAATGGTTACAGACACGGCGAGACCGGGGAACGAGACGGAGAGGGGACGGAGCTCACGGGGGACGACTCTCCCTCCTGACATGCTGGTCCCCGTAGCTCCAGCAGAAGGGGGGGAGGGGGGGGGGGGGACAGGCTGTATCTCCTTACCCAGGGAGAAGCTCACCCCCCCGCCGCCGCCGCAGGCCTCGGCAATCACTGCAAACAGTCGAACCTCCAGTCACGCAGACTCTCACACAACATTACAGGCTTTTTACACAGTGTTACGCCCACATCTTATTATCCCATTCAAGTCGCTCTATTAGCTCAATTGGATGGCGGGATTTTCATTTGTAAATTGGGGGGGGGGGGATTTTAGATTAGCTTGTCTGTCAGCGATGAAATGCCCCCCCGCCGAGACTGTGAATCATGTGACCGATCACACATGAACCGATGCTTACACGTACTGCAGCGCATGAACAACCTTAACCTAGATTGTGTACAAGCACGTCCCAGATGTTATCAAAGGAGGCATCACAGCTGTACTGCTGCATGGTGACACATTAGACACACTGTACTCTTCAACTCAAATGCTTAATACGGGAATATCATTTACTCCTAATGGATCAACAAACCGTGAACGGCGACCTTTTTGTGCCGCTGACAATGGGGAGTGTTGGCTTTTATACGGCAAATGATATTCAGGTCTAATAGAGAACTATTAAAGATAAATATTAGCTGCAGAACACACCTAGCAGCGACGTTATGCAGAACTGAAGCGGGTTGGTTAAAAGGAGGCGAATGAATTACCCCTCTTCCTCCCCAGGCCTTCCATTCAGACACGGAGGGAGAGGGAGAGGGAAGGGGAGAAAAAGAAAAAAAAACAGGAGGCACCCCGAGCTAGTCGACAGACCCGGCAAATTATGAAAATGCCTCTCTGTGTCCTAAATGGAGGCCGAGCTCTTTAATGTGGCACAAAATTAGAACCTGGGGGAGGAAGTGTGGCCCGCTTGATTGGCGAAACCCCTCCTGGTCCACTGTACGCCGCTTCCCTCCCCCTCTCCGAGCACGCGGAGATATTATCCTGTGGCTGGTGGCACTCTCTTGTATTGGGGGAAACTGAAGGACCCCAGAGAGAGCCCGGGGGCGTCCATAAAGGTGCCTAATTTGTCAGTTTACTCCTCAATTATTTAAAAAGATCTAAGACGGGAGCGGAGAATGGGGGCCTTTTCTGCCTCCGGGATAGTCAAAGGCAGAGGGAGACCTTTCTCCACGGTAGCCATTTTCAATTGGCGCTCTGCGCTGCTGTATTTGATACACAGAAGTGCCGTGGTGGAGGGGGGGGGGGGCTGTATCAAATAAACAAATGTGTGTACACAAGATAACACTTGGGGATGATATTCAGTTTGCTCCGAAGAACTGAAAGTTATTCCACATTTACAGATTAAAACAAACTTTACAGACGTGTGCACACAAAGTACACAAACACACGTGTCATACATGGGTAAACACACACACACACACACACGTGCACATCTTTAGGTGAGGATTTAGGTGAGGTATAAAGGGAGGCCCCTTTGTTACTCAACCCTCTGCTCTTTCATTCATCCACACTGGGGTTTAACAACCCCCCCCCCTCACCCCCCCCGGGCTCCTATCAGCATCCCCACACCAGCAGGAGAACCAGCTCACCACTGGAGGTATGTGTGTGGAGACCCCCGGCCGCAGATTACCAAGCGGCTGAAGATTGGCGCTGGAAATGGGAGATGCTGCATTCCCCGACCCGCGGACCTCTAATCCCTCACGTGTCCACCTCTATTGTTGGGTATGTTTTACTAGAGGGTGAGGTTACGCGGTCTAAGGAGGGTGAGGATGCTGTGAAGGTAAATGGGGTCCACGCGGGGTCCTATGGTGACCTTATCGCTCACATGCGTCCGTGGTGGACTGCAGGTAAAGGACCCTCGCCATCGATTGAGATGGACCGAGATCCGTGCAACAACAACAACAACAACCGCTCTCAATAAGCTCGATATCAGCAGCGCTGCATCCAGCGGCAGCACAATAGGCACAAAGATGTGAGCACAAAGCCAATCACACAGTCCTTTAAATACTGGAAAGAAACAACAAGGAGAAAAAAAACAAACACGGGATAGACAATGGAGAGCACTACAAGCACCTGTTCAAACACACTGTACCTGGCCTGGCCACCACACACTGAGAAACACACACACACACACACACACACACACACACACACACACACATCAAGAGTGACAGCAAACAAAAACCTGAGACGAGTCATTCACGACATCGTGTCAACAAAGACTGACGCTAATGGGCCTAATTCGACCCAATACACATCCCTGAGTCTGTAGGAAAATATTTCATTTAGCCAAAACAACAAGTTGAACAATGTGAAGTGATTTTTGAGGGTTTGCGGTTCCATTGTGTTGAAAATCTACTGTCACTTGACACACCGCAGTTAACCAAGAGTTTCGGATAAACCTGCAACTCAGTGCACTCGAATAACAACAATAAAAGGCAAAAAATATGTGTGGAGTTTGGAAGTCGGTATTGGCAGCCTTCGCAAAGAAGGGGGAGTGTATGGGGGGGGGGCGCCTCGTTAACATCCTTGAAACAGGTTCCTCCTGCTTAGGAAAGGGATCTGCAGGCAAAGTTTTTTTTCCCCCAGAGTGCGAGATTCTGCAAAATCTGCGGCCAGCTGAGTATGTTATGCCTCTCACACCCTCTATTCTCTTCCCAAACGCTAACCGACGCACCCGGGCCCTCCGCCTTCCTCCACTCCGAGCCTCCATCCAGCCGGGGAGAGCAGGAGGAGATATAGGCCCAGTAGCTAAAGCTGTCTTTTCAGCCCCTGCTCCCGCTCGGTCTATCTGAGATACACAGCAAGCGGAGGTGTCGCTTTTTCCGCTGGCATTTCGGACAGTATCTACTTACAGACGGGAGGAGAAGAGAAAAGAAAAACAGAAGGGGTATTATCAGGGAGGGATGAGAGCAGCAAAGGCATTTTGTCTTTTTATTCCTCTCCTAAGCTCTGGGCTTTGCTCTCAATTCGATTGGTTCGATACGGCCAGGGATGTAAATGAAATGCAAAGAAGGAATAAGGGCTGGCTTCCCATCTCCAGTGTGTGTGCCCCCCCCCTCCCCCCCTGAGGTCTCCCTCCTCTTTTTTTCTGTCTCACTCTGTCGGGCTCTTGGGGCTTTTAGGGGGTGAGATTTCCGTCTCCCCATTCAAGAACTTGGGCCACTCCCTTTTTCGGTTTCACCCTCCACATTTGGCCCCCCCCCCCCCCCCCCGCTGCATCCCTCCCCTCTCTCCGGCTGGGCTCACAGCTCTTATCTCCTCAGACGCCCCACATTCCAGCGTTGCCGTGGCTCCCTGCCTGCATCCCTGGTCACGGCGATTCCACGGGTTCCCACAATCCTCGGCAGCTTGCTGATTTAGGGTGGGCAACTGCCTCTCAGAGACAGGGGAGAGGAACAGAGGGGTTAGGGAAGGACCGGGCGAGAGGGGATGAGAGGGTGGCAGACAAGAGGACAGTACGAAAGTAAAGTGCAAATAACAGGAGGAAACAAATGTTTGTAATGTAGACATCAAAACAAACAAAAAAGTGTGCGAGAGGTTATAATTCTTCCTGTTCGGCCTCGTCTATCGTGGAGAGAATTATCCAAAATGTCACAGAAAAAGACAATCTTTATTGAAATATTTGAATCTGTAGAAAAACAGGGTGACAGGTTTCCTTCTTTCTATGGGGAACAAGCCCACCTGTGTTGCAGCAGGTCGGTTCTGATGCTCCTCATGAACCTTGTGACAATCGACCGGTTTCCCTTCAACTGACGCTGAAAACAAAAGACAGTGACTCCGGTCCACTCGATGCGTTTGCCTGCTGCGTTGTCTCTCCAACAACCTTCACTGGGATGAAGGTCCTGTGAGTTGAGGAGGGGGGACGGGGTCATGGTCTCCGTGGGTCCCCAGAGTTTGCATCATTCTGTGCTTGTACGATGATCAAAGTCATTTGCTTTCCAGTGTGCCAATCGGTTTATTGACTACGTGTATATGCAGCTCCAACAGAGAACAGAGGGTGGAGATTTAGGCATTCACACACACACACACACACACACACACACACTCACACATACACACCTCTAAAAGGGTCCCTGGCAATTGTGACATTTCACATTTCATATAAATCCCTGAGGGATTACAGCCCTCCGGTTAGGAAGCAAAGAGAGAAGAAAAAAAATCGATTGAATCCATTAGTGTTTTTAACATTTAAAGAACCATCTCGATACAGCGGACTGATGTGAGGATAGAGGGGTGGGTGGGTGGGTGGGTGGGTGGTGCTGGTTATGTGGAGTGAGGACTGTGTGGTACAGCACAAGTCTGTCCTAGATTAAATAGTCGCTCTAATCCCCCAATTCTGCCCCCAAATTGGTTTTCCCTCAATCTCAGCCTTGCCATCCTAATGGGAGAAAAGGAGAAGTGGAGCAGTGGCGGCACGTTAAAAGCCTGTGAGAGCAGAAGAGGAGAGAAGAGGAAAAAGGAATGAGATGCAACTATAAAGCAATCAAACGGGTGATTTCAAGGGGCGCGTGATCGCTTTGATTGGGGTCAATTGGTCAATCGAACGGTGACCCTGGTCAACGGTAAAGGTTCATCAAATGAAGCATTGCCGGGTGGCCGCTCTCTGTCCCGTGTGCAGAGTTCTGCTTTATAACTAAGTCCCAGTACGTCTGCATCCCCACTCTTCCTTAATCCAGACTCATCTCAGGTCCGTTAGGCCAAAACCTCAAAATCATCCCAGATAGGCACATCGGCCGGGCTCCTCGTGGTTCTCTCGGGGTCTCGTTACGGGGTTCGCCTCGAGCTCCGGCGGAGCTCGTCCCGCTCTTTCTGCAGGTCGGCGATGGCGCCGCGTATGGCGGCCGCCTGGGGATCCGTGGGTTCCTTCTGCAAGTAGAGACTGAAGTGCCGGGCGCTGCAGGCCAGCAGGCCGTCGGGGCCGTGGCCCCGGTGACCCGATCGTAGCAGCCTCTCGCAGGCCAGTGCCAAGTTCTTGTCCCAGTTTGGAGGGTAGTCCGAGTGGGCCTCCACGATCTCCTTGTACAGCTGCCCCGGCAAACGCACATACAGACAAAGACGCAATAACAGCTGTTTTATCAACAACAACAAAAAGCCGCTGAATATTTTAGACTTTTGCCTTTTAAATCAGCCCCATCCCGGTGACAGAGAGTGCCGCTGCGGGGGTTAGCTGAGGTCACACTCACCGTGTAAGACAGCTCCAGCAGGCGAGCTCTCCCCTCTCCCTGCACCCTTTCTGCCAGGTCAAACAGAAAGAAAGCCGTCTTCATCCTGAAACAAAGCGGCGGAAGGCTCAGGGCTAAGTGCTGGATGGATGAGCCATGCAGATCCACGCTCGCAGACGCACCACTCCAACGGAGTGATTTATGTAGATGCCGCCGCCAAACGGAATGTACGTATAGATGCTCTACCACACAAGACTGGTTTATGGAGATGTCCCCTGGCGTGGGTAGTATGCGGCATCGTGACGCAGCTTTTTATCCGCACGCTAAAGTGTACGGCCGCTTCAAAGATAAAGAACAAGTGAAAAGTTGCCGGTACCTGGCTTGCCACATCTCCTCATTAGCGACGCGCTCCCAGGACGCAGGATGGAAACTGGAAGCGGGGAAAAGAGAGAGAGAATAATATCATTTTTATATGTAAACAGCTTCTGGCTCGTGCACGGTCCCACTCACTCTAAATGATTATTTATGTGAATATATTGTTCCACTCGACTCTGCCGTTTTTTTTTGATACACTAAATATCAATCTTCGCTGCATACAAATTAAACGGCCGAGCAACAATGGCAGCAAACACATTAGACATGGAGTAAAACCACATCTCCCCCTTTTCACTTTGCCGACTGTAAACACTTGACCTCTTCTTCAAAAGAATATTTTAGCAGGGCTCCCGAGCTAATATTTGGCTTGTGGGCGTCGGCGGACACGCTTGTCGTGAGGGTGCAGGAAATAATGTCACAGTATTCAGTCGTGGGTATCTGAGTGAATGAGGGGCTGCTGGCAACAGCAACAGAATACGGAGCTTTGACTAATTCCACTTTTGACACAGTTATTGACAAAATGCAATGAGAAACTCATTATTTTTCGTCTCCAGTCTCATTTCAGAACGCTGAGGGCCCAATGATCCGCATCCCAGCGCGGAGAACAGGAGACAACCTCACTGAGGCGAGCTCTGTGGAGTCTCTGTGGAGGTGATCGAAAAAAAGGCCACAGAGAGCGACGAAATGCACTCGTTCATTACTCTCATTAGGGTGAGTTCATTGTCCTTCTGAGCGTCACTGAAAGATCAATGTGCATGAGCATTCTGCTTCGTGCTGCTGTGATCTCGTATACTTGCGTACGCACCTGTTGTGTGGCTCACTCCAGTTGTACATGCCGCGAGTTCGATGCGCCCACTTTTCAGGGTGGAACTGCCTCTGAGCCGGCACCAAGTAGTCGCAGACACCCATGGGCCAGAGGTAGAACCCGCGTTCCCAACTGGAGTCTCCTTCGGAGAGCCCAATGCAGGCGAACACGTGCCTCCTGCAGAAGACATCAGAATGGATGTTCCCCGGGTTAAGAGCTGATGACTGATGGGGGGGAAAACACGCTCGAGCGTCCCTCCGATCACCAAAGACTTGGGCCTTGAGGGTTAATCCAACAGGTCAGCGTTGCCCCGCCGAGAGGCTGGCGTGTAGGCCTGGCAAACACTGCCCCCTGGTGGGCTCGGTATTAACAGGTCTCCAGACAGCTTCTCGGTGGAATTTCCTCTTGGAGGAGTGAGTGATGAGAGCAGAGAGCGGCTCACCAAAGGCTGTTTTAAGCAAATCAAGTAGATTAGATGACTTCTGTAGCTCGTCAAACTCCTTTTATGGCCTCAAGAGTCCTGCGGATTTATCTTCTCCCTGCACCCATCCCACTGATCTCTGCCTCATTAGATCAGCCACTTGTTCATTTGGCCCATTGTTGCCCTCCCAATTACTTCTTTTACACCCTTCCCTCTGTCTGCTCAGACCACCCTTCGGTTCTCCCTCGGCTCTGTCCTTGTGACTAAGCGACTTACTGCGTGTTGTGGGACAGAAACTGCTCCAGACTGAAGGTGTCGCTCCCCTCAGGGTGGACTGGGTCCCACCAGCCGCCAGGAAAGTGCACCCCAGGGTGGTGCAGAGCATGCTTGGCCACATACCAGGCATAAGTCATCATCTGGAGAGAAGAAACAGAACCACCAGCTCTGTTCAGTTCTTTGTACCCTTAAGATTAGCAGTGCACAATTCATTTCATGGAAAGGGCTCATTGACTATTTCGGTGGCTTTTAGTCCACATTTGGAGTTATAAAGGGTTTTTGGAGGATTTTGTCTTCACCAAACCCCTAATATACTAGCGTATGATTTACATAATCACTAAATACAAAACTTAGAAAGACTTCATGGCATCTGGCTAAATGTACTTTATGAATTTCAAGCAGTCCCCGGTACGTCCATAGTAATAATGCCATATTGTCCAAAAATATAATTGGCCGTACAAATCTCAATTTTTTTTCCTTTTAAAACACAGAAATTACCCAGTTCTCAAATCTATCTCACTCACTTGTCAACCAAAAGAGACGGAAGCAATTTTGTCAAGAACCTTAAAATCTCAATCGTCTTCTTATAATGACTTTTTTTTGTTTATACATTACATCTGTATCAAATATCAAAACGTCCATGAGAAAAGCTAAACAAAGACGTAGGCGGTGGAGAAATGACGGCTCTGACCTCCTGGTCGACCAGACGTACGTCGGGCCGGACGCCCTGGCAGTAGTACAAGTAGCGCATGGAGTTTCCAGGCAGGTCTCCTCTGGTCAGGATGATGGAGTCCGTTGGGACGGAGGCCAGAATCTCCCTGCCGAACCTCTCGACCACACTGTTTGCGCTCTGATCGCACTCCCTTAGGGGTAACCAAACATGCACCATCACACTGTATAACACCATCAAAACAGAAGCCGTGTTTACTGGAATTTAAAAAGGGCTGTTGAGTGCATCCTTTAATGCCGCTTAGAAGCGTGGGATATGCGTACGGCTGTGTGTATGTGAGTGTTTGTAGGTACGCCTCTCAAGGGGCTGTGAGGGTAAGTTGTCAGTGCCCCCGCCCCCTTCCCCTCCGCGTGGTGCTCCGGCTGCCTATCTAATCGCGGGGAGACAGGTGCGATGGGTCTGACAGCACGGGCCGTGCTCTCCACTTGATCAAAGCCGCTCGGTGATGGCTGTCTGGCACTCCCCGGCACTGCGCTGGTGTAATCTGCCTCCTCGGACAGCTAACATCTCAGACTGAGCTCAGCGGGTGGAATCTATGTGCTAACCGTGCCTCTCTTTAGCCCCTACCATGGGGTGAGCAGGGGGAAAAAAACTGACATGTGCACTTCAGACCCGCGGTATGAAGCTCAGAGGAGAAACAAATCAGATTGACTCAGGGAAAACTTATGCATGGGGATTTCAGAAGGAAGTAGAATGAGAGGAGAGTTTTTATTCCACTTTAACTTCACTCATCTGAAGTGTTTCAGAGTAACTCGCGGCACATTTGGCTCTGGTGTAGTTGTAGCGACGGGGATACTGTAAAGCAAAACTGATCCCGCAGGTAAAAGCATGCAGATCGTACAGTGCAGCCAAACAAAACAAGAGCATCCCGACACAAGAGAAGAGCTTAAAGTCATTGACAAAAACATGTAAGCTCGTTGGTGCTCACCTGTGATTGGTGTGCACCATATGTGCCAGCAGAGCCACGGTGAGGACCCAGCCTGAGGTCTTCCACAAACCCCCACGGCCCAACCTCCTCTGCAGCACAGTGTGTGTCCGGCTCAAGCCGAGGCCTGCCAGCACGCACACTGCAGCATCGCTCTGCAGCCAGAAGCGCTCGACCTGCAGGAACACAAACAAAGACGCACGTGCACCGGCCCGGCGTTAACTAATGGCCCCGGTATGAATGTAAAGTTCTGTTTCTAGATGCGTGGACTCCCTGTGGTATACGGCCCTCCCACATGTTGGGATCGTAACTCAATAGATAAGTACACATTTTAAACCACTTCCAGGTAAATGAAGACGATAGAAACACCTCGGCTCGAAGGGAGGGTGTCAAACTGAGCTGAGGTCTCGTAGCTCACCACTCCAAGCAGCAGGGGTCTGCTGATGTCCAGGTTGGCTCTCCAAGCAAAGAACAGCGAGTAGACCAGCAGCATGGCGGCGAACAGACCGGACACCGAGCGGCACGTCCTGGAATAAGAAAGGCCAAGTTGTTCAGTGTACTAATGATTGTTTTCTAGGGGTGTAACGATTCATTCACTGAATCGATTAATCGATTTATATTCCTGCGATCCAACTGAATCGATCTGTGCTCCGCAAATCGGCATTCCGGACGACATATATCAATTACAAATCGATTAAAATGCCACATAATTGATTGTATCGATACTTGGAAACTGCACATTGGATTTAAGTACAAAAACGGTATGGATGTGTGTTTGTTTGTTTTTTAGCACTTTAGACACGTTAAACGTTACTCGATTCAGTCTGCCTGTCTGTGACGTCATCAGTACGCAGCGGCAGCCGCGCAAAACTCTGAACAACAAAACACAGCGTGGAGGAGACGACTGCGAGCGAGACATTTACAAACCAACTTATCGATCCAGCGTGTGGAAACATTTCGGCTTTTGCAAACACGGAGGTGTTCTAAATAAGTCGGTCGCTGTTTGTAGAATATGTAGAAAACAAATAAAAAACACGGAAACACGACGAATCTTTCCGGCCATCTACTAAGGCGCCGTGGGATTAAACAACGCCGACAGTCAGGCACCTCTAGCAGCGTCACCGCTGCAGCAGCAGCAGGTAACTCAGCTCTGCAGACTCCTCAGGCCTCGCCAGCACCAAACTCAACATCACAGTAACAATTGCCAAGTTTATCTGTAAAGACATGCGATCCTACAATGTGGTTGAAAATCCGGGGTTCTGTAAATTGATCCAAACATTGTGTAATTATTGTGAATTGTTTACATTGAAAATGGCACTTGATTCAAATAAAAGGTTAATACATTTGCCATTAATTGTTGTTTGCTTGTTTATAATATCCATAATTAATTTAAACTTCAGAAACTTTGCCTGCACTGTCCAGTAAAGTTACTGAATCGATTTCAATTCACCGAATCGAATCGTTCTAAATGAACCCCGATCGTCCATGAATCGAATCTGCAACCATGAATCGCGATTTGAATCGAATCGTTGTTAACATGAATCGTTACACCCCTATTGTTTTCATTTCCATCAGGACTCACGAGTTGTGTTCTATATACTCGTTAAACACATTATATTATTTTTATTCATACAGTTTAATCTGTAAAAAATGTACCTCTTTTGAATAAGAAAGCATTGATGCGGGGATTGAGATCACAAGCCTGAGAGCGAGTGCATACTCCAGCCTGCTAAGAGGTGCCTGATTGATTTTCTAATGCAGACTGAGTCATAATGAGCTGAATCACAAATTCATTACAGTGCAGCTGTAAAATGTACTTACGCGTTAAAAGAGAACACGACACCCTCGTGGCAATAACGAATCATCATCTAAACCAAAACAGACACTTTCAAGCCATAGAAAGTGACTCTTGGTTTTCCTTCAAACAAATTGATCTGACGGGTCACACTGGCCACAAACACTTTTCTCTTCACGGTTAATAACAAACCAACAAAAAACCTTCTGATCTTCTTCCAAACTAAAAGTTCAACTCCATAGTTCAACATTAGGTAAATTAGTATTTGCATGGCTTCCTTCTGGCATCCTATCAAATGACCTTGCTCCTTTTCATCTGTGCGTGTACGCAGCCAAGTGTATCAAAGTGCACCCCAGGAGAGGGGAAGCGGGGGGGGGCAGTGCACTAGAGAGCCAAGGGCTTTGCCAGGCTCTATCAGCTCCGCCCCACAGACCCTAGAAAAGGCCCTGCTGTAATTATTGGATCACGCTGCCACATAGAGATGAATACAAGCAGTACAGTTCCTCGTACACGCAAACACGCTTTGGAAAGATCCAAAATACGCATCAAGTCCCCTCGATTTGAATGTGGAGCGTTGCGACATCTTGACAGTTAGGTGCCTCGGTGGCTTTTTGTGTTCCCTTTTCCTAAGATCAGCGTTTTGTCAGTGGTTTTGTTCCCCCGGCTTTCACATGCGAGGGATTAGATTCGGGCTGAAGTGGCTGCTGGGATGCGTCTGACAGAGTTTGGCGCGTTTGGCGCGTTTTGTCTCTTCCTACCTGTCCCACGAGGAGAGGAGGAGGCCCATTCCCGCCAGCACCAGAGCCGGGAGGGAAAGGTCTTGCAGGCAGTGGTTTAACTGGGCCCTGCACGCAGACACACACACACAAACATTCATACATGACTTACAGTACGTGATGGACACCGAAGACAAGCTCAATTACCCTCGCTGCCATGAGCTCAAGGACACTAATTATCAAACGCACTCCATCCCCTGTCAAAACAAACTGCTTGGACTGTTTGCTCCTTCATCCAATCGCACTGACAGATAGGAATGATTGTGTCACCCCCCCCGCCCCCCCACCGTTGCCCCATCCTCGCCTCACAGTGCCTGTCAGTCACAGAGCGCTTGCTCAGAGCAGAGAGATAGTTTCCTGCCTCTTCCTTAATACCCATCTCCATTTGACAGCTTATTGAGTCTCTATATCTCCCAATGTACACTATGTGTGAATGTTTTCACCAGCGTGTGTGTGTGTGTGTGTGTGTGTGTGTCAGCTTCTCCAGTGGGTTTTACGTCTCCACTGCGACATGCCTGTCATGTTCGCCTCTCTTCCCCGTCTTGAAGGTGTGCTTGTCCATCAAGCAGCAGGGGTGGTGGGAAAGGGTGGGTGCCTGGCAGAGGGGGGGCTGCTAGTGGGGGGTCTTAAGACGCCCGTGCACCCACATCCCGTCAGCTGGAGAAAGATACCAGGAGTGGGATGACTGCGCTGGTGGTGGAAGCAGGGAGCAGGGGAGGGAATCGGGTGGAGGAGGTGGGGGAGGTGGGGGGGGGCTGCTGGAGTGGAAAAATACAATTTCTCCAGCTCTATTGCAGTGTCTGTCATCACAGCTTGTCACGCTTAAACACCAGAGCTGAGTGATCACTTCAAACTGCTGGAGAAACAGAACACAGCGATTTGGCCCTCTAAGCAGGTTCAGTTCTGCTTTGATGGGAGAAAGTGGAATGGGAAGAACAAAAGCTGCTGGGGAGAAGAGATGGGAGGGGGGGGGCAGAGAGAGATGGGCTGCAGAAGTGATTCTGGGCTCTCAGAACAGATTGGAGTGTCTGTGTTAAAACACCAAACAGCGTGGTTGGCACCTCAATCTGTAGAAGCTCGTGTGAACATTGGGCCGGTTTGGATTTCGCTGCATTGCACTGTGTACGTCTGCATGTGAGGATGTAATTACGTTCTTTTGGGGTTTGTTGATATCATATCCCTGTCGGTTAACCAGCTGACTTTTCAAAATATCGTATTAATAGTTTTGTTTGATATTTAAAAACACACCATGAAGGGAAAAAAAGGCACACTCACTTTAGCATTGAGGTCAGGTTTACGGGGCTCTCCGTCTTTGCCTACAAACAAAAAATATACAAAGTGAGATGTGCCGAGAGCACATGTACGAACTAACAGCAAACAATACAAAATAAAAAGAATCAATGGGTTTAGTTTAAATTGTATTATAAATATACGGACCAGACTGAAGGTGCCATATTCGGCCCGCAGCAGGTGGGTTAGCAGGCCTGACAGCGTGGTCTGATCCCCCCAGCTCCAACGGGCCGTGTTGAGGAAGGAGGACACAGGCAAGTAGACGTACGGCAGAAAGCCAGAAAAGAAACAAACTCCCAGAGACACAAGGCCGCGCAAACTCAGCTCCTGTTGACGTCGTTTGGGAGAGAAATGTTCTCGATTGTCTTATATTTTCCAAAATGCAAGTAAACATTAAAAAAAAGCAGCATCCCAAGAGAATTCAGATTTAGGTTTCTACACAACTTTGAAGCTAACAGAGAGAGCGGCGAGTGCCTGCACTCCCAGAACTTACCCCGAGAGAGTAAAGTCGGTGAAGGACCCAGGGAACGATGAGCAGCACATACAGCACCAGGGTGTGCTGGTTACAGAGCCCCAGGCCACAGCAAAGCGCTCCCACGTGTGCAATCTGACCAAGTCAAGCGTTTTAGACTGAAGTGATCGTAACGACAGATCTCTGAGACGTGAGAGACAGCGGGCGGATGATTTACCTTCTGCCTCTGGGCGGCGTTCTCGGCACAGTGGAAGCCGGCAGTCAAGAAGAAGAGCAGACCAACAAAAAGGTTGTTGAGGGCGAAGACCTCTGCCACCATGGACCACTGCCAGCTCAGCCTGGACACGGCGAAGAGGCCTCCTGCCAGCACTGCTCCGGGGCCGGGCCCCTCCAGCCTGAGAGAGAGAATGATTATGAACAACAAACCCAGGTTTATATTATATATAATTAACACTCCATCAACTGGTTCCAATCAAATGGATAAATCAGACAATAATAATGTATTTTATTCCAAGCCATACTTGTTCCGGTTTTCTATTTCTATTTTTATTTGATCCAATTTACACTTTTCTGCCACAAGAGGTAAAAAAAATATATGATACATTTTTCCATAACAAAAGCTACCACTTCCCTCAGACTAATTTAGCGGCCCATTATAATCTTCCCTTGACCCAAGTTTGCTTCTTGGACAAGACCTTGAAAAACACCCGGTGAATTTGGGCCATTCGCACATGATGAGGACTCCCTCCCCCGGAGCAGACCGGCACAGAAACCACCGCGGTGGAGATAGCACTTTATCCTCAGCTTCTTAAGTATAATGTGCACACAAAAGTTCCTCCTCTCCCCTCCTGTACCGTCTCCATCTCCTTGGCTGTAATTGAAGCAAACTTGGGATAATCTGTCATACGCTAAGACCCACCACTTACTAAAATGAGAGACAGGGTGGGGGGGGGGGGGGCGACAAATGATTGGGAGAAGGGAAAGAAAAAGGAGAATAGTGCAAGAAGTGTGCGTTAAAGGGGTGAGACACTGTGCGGGATGAGGGATGAAATATAGAAAGGGGGAGAAAAAAGTTTCAGAAGAGCGGGAGGGAGGGGGGGGGCTAAAGAGAAGGGAAATATCTATTCCATAAAAAAAAAAAAAAAAGCAGCCCGGTCCCCGGCACGCTGGCTCTGCAAATATAGAGCGGGCTCGACAATTAGGGAAGTCAGGCAGTATGGCCCTTTCCGCCATTGTGTGGAGTGGCTTAGAGTCCTCATCAGCCTATCAGCTAACTGACAGGCAGAGAGCTGCTCTATTCAGCAGCGCAGATACAAGCTGCAGGCCAAACGGCTGCCAGGTCCCTTATGACCCCACAATCCCTTGCCGGTGACAGCTTCAAGCTCCATAGCAAATTAGGCGCTCTCACATTACAATCGCAGAAGACAGATTCCATTAACGGTATCTGAAATTGAGTAGAGAGCAGGCCCGTTATCAGACCTGACTCATAAGCACCGCCATTAATCACAAGGCATGATACCATTTATACATTTCCAGCTCTCTGCCTGCCGCTGTGATAGTCAGCCACAAAAGGCCTGATGAGACTTAGACTAGGGGAACAATGGCGCTTTCTGAGGAAAGCGCGGTAAATCAAGAAAAAAGAAGAAAAAAAAAAGGAGAGCGAGCGCAGGGGAGGAAAAAGAAATTCATGCTCGCTGACTACTTCCCCTTTTTTCTTGAGTTTTTTTTCTCTCCTTCCCTCCACTATTTTTCCTCTATACACTGTGAGGCGAGCTTGCTGAATGAATATGTATATATGCGTGTGTGTGTGTGTGTGTGTGCACTTAAAGAGGGGTGCACGTTGTGATTGGCCGTCTAGCAGTGGGTCTTAATAAGAGATAGCAGTCGTTCTCACTGCACTGCTCCAGGAATTAGTTGTAACTTGAAGGAAGGCTGAGGAGGGAAGGGGGCAGATGGGGACTTTTGTTGAGGCGCAGAGACCCCCCGCACCCAAAATTTTACCTCCATGCATGTCAATTAACCCTTGGCTCATGGACCTAGCAGGGGGGGGCTGATTTGGGGAGCCTGGGATGCACGTACGAGGTTGTTACACCGAGTGTCTCCCTGCCTCTGGAGACTCGTCTGATAGTCAGGAAGAGACACACACACACACAAACATGCACACGTACACACACAAACATGCACACGTACACACACACACACTTCTTTATTCTCCCCGAATGCCTTTACAAATCTCTCCGTTAAGAGCTTGTCAGTGTGTAGGAGCGCAGGCAGTAAGTGACCCGTCTGTCATGCGCGGGACCACCTGGGTCCCAGTCAGTCCCCCCTCCCGCCCCCCGCTCGGATAAAGCGGGACACGTTGTGACAGCAGTGCGTCCGTGTTCCCCGAGCTGTTAAATGTTGTGGCTCGGTGACGGCGGCCTGGTTGAGATGTGGCAGGAGAATGCGTCATCACTGGGTAATTAACCCAAAGTGGTATCCGTGAAGCACAAACGGGGTAATAACCGTTGTGAAAGTTACGGATAATAACATTTATTTATTTTTCTTGCTAGAAATCACTCACAAAAGGACTGAAAATGGTCAAATTGAAAATGAAATAAGACAAATATTTAATACGTAACTACTCTGCCAACAGCAAGATGAAAAGGTAAAAAGAAAAGTAATGAAGCGGGCGCGAGGACACAACAAAAGCTCCGTATAATGACTGAAGTGTGAAAATGTGGACCTGCCTGGATTTAACCCTCGGTTCTACAGTCCGGGCCGGCGGCGCGCCAGCACCAGCCGTCTGTGCTAAATAACAGCACACAAAAAAAGCCGACACCAGCACTCCGCACCATTGAGGCTTCACAATGGAGCCGGCCAACGGAGGCGCTGTCACACATCACCCCCCGAGGGCGGGGGGGGGCGGGGGGGGGGAGGAGCAGACAATACCACGGCTGTGCCATGGCGGATCAGCGCCGCGCTGTTCTCTAACCGCGCGGCGGTTTGGTTTGGAAAAGAATCACACATTCCTGAAGAGGGTAGAGAGCCCCGGAGACGAGGTGGCCTGCTCGGGCAGAGGTTTCCAGCTGGCCCTCGCTGGCACCCCGGGGGCTCTCTCCTCTGGCAGGGACACCCGGGTACTTAGCAGCTATTATGTGACAGTGAGTGTCTGGTGCATCGCTTTGACATTTCAAAGCCAAGCGGCGTTTGATATACGCATTTAAAGCTTTTAAGTTTTAGTACTTTTTGTATGTGCGTCACAAAACCAAATACTAAATAAAATACCACGGAGGGTTTTAGAGTCAGTCAATGCGTTTCATTGTATCATTAAAATATGATTTTTTGATTTTAGGGGTTTTATTTTAGCTGCTACAACATATGTTACAACATAGTATATTATTAAAGCTTGTATTTTTGTCACGCGCATTGATTGATTGCAATGACAAATTAGTATTTTTGCATAAATGTACCATATCATGATACCTATATCAAAAATCCTTTCTCACCAATATGGTATTGATTTTAGCCATATTACTTGTTTTTACATGATTCCTTTTTAACTACCGAATGAATACTACTACTACTTGTATCATGCGTTTTTTAATTTTTCTAAATAATTTGCTAAATTATCATCCAAAAGAACCATCACCAAAAAAAATCTATTGTTAATGTTGATGTTATATTAATACAACTATATTATTATACTATACTATTTTTTTTAGGTATTTCCGATTAAAAAAAAACATAATCCATAATAAATAACTGACTTTTAAAACCGTTTAAAAGCTGCTTGTCTTTAGCAGGTCACCAAACCGGACACTTCCCGGTCTGTCCCGTCTCATCCCGTGTGCAAAGAAGAGGCCGTCTGGTCAGAGCCGAGGGTAAATGAGGACGCCCCCCCCCCCCCACCAGGGGAGAGCTCCAGCGCTCCAACCGTATATAAAATTAATCACCACAATTCTGCTCAAACAATGCCGCCACTGACATGACAATTTCTTCCAGAATGCCATCTTAATCTCCCCCCGACACACAAAAATTACAGGAAGAGTATAAGAAAAAAAACAATTTACAAAAACCCCGTGTTTAAGCAATTCACTGAATGCCATTTTTATTGCTGCTTTTTGCTCAACAGAGTCATTAGGGACACGCCAGTGATACATAAATGTTGCTGTATAGATTCCATTAACTAATTCTGGGTGAATTGTAATTGCCGAGTCTGATCCGTCTCCGTGCCCGCTGCCTTATTAAGACTGCCTGTGGTGGCTGAATGTAATATTGACGTCCGAGGCAGACGCAATCTCGAGCCCGCGGGCGAAAGGAATATTAAACTGGTACTGTATTCTGCTGTCTATCTAGCCCTCTTCCTCCTCCTCTCCTTCCCCATCATATAACCAGTAATGAGGAAATAACATCTTCATTAGACATCTGTTTAACTGTATTAGACGATGAGTCCTGGGGGAACCATTGGTCATGCTGAGGATGAGGGGGGGGGGGTGTAAAGGAGGTATGTTGGACTACGATGTGGCGGATGAGATACAGCAGAGATGGAACAAAAGGTCTAGAGATTCGGGCCTTTTAAAGCGACAAAAGTAAAGCGGTCTTCTGCATTTTCCAGAGGAAACGGCAATGGCCGGGTTCTTTTTAATCCGACCTGAGTAGGTACAAGGGGGGGGGGGGCCTTAACCAACAAAACTCAACTGTTTCCCAGGAGTAAAACCTTGCCCCTGACATGACCCCAACAAGTTACATGCCCTCCTCCCCCTCCCCCCACTCTGTGGAAAAACAACCCACCTGAGCGAGGAGGGGAGGCGCCACCAGGACCATATGGTGACGGTCCTTATAAGGAGCCTGGGGGGGGGACGCAGCACAAGACAGGGGATGGCACCACGCCGATCCTCCGGTCCACTACGGTATCGGCCGTGCCACGTGGGCCAGCTCTTGGCGGGGAGGAGGGCGTTGCAGGGAAAGGGGAGACCGGGCACATCCGGTGCACCCCAACGGCCCCCGTTATGCAATCGTGCGATCGAACGAAAAAAGTGCTGATGACGGAGGGAGTGGCGAGGTCGGGGGTTTTGTCTCTTTTTCCCGCCCCGGCGGCTGTCAGCGCGCTGGCTCTAGCTGCTCCTGGTTCCTCGGGATAAGCTCGGGAAAGGAGAGAGATTCTTCTCTGGTAGCAGAGATTCAGAGCAGCTTTGGCAGATAAACTGTGAAACGAGAGAGCACGAAATCCCGCGCTGTCTGGATTATCCCGCTGTGAAGGGTGCATTCCTCCGGAGACTCGCGGCGGAGGCCCTTTGGCGTCACGCGGGCCGAAAGTGTTTTCCTTCCGTGAAGCTTCCGATCGATGGTAATCACCGCTACGTCCTCCCCCCTCAAAGCCTCGTCAGGGCCGTGGCGTGAAAACATAACAGGGCGTACAATTTGGCCATCAGACCTTATGATCAAGCCAGAGAGAGCTGTAATTGACAAATCAAAGGGAGGCTAAGTGCTGCATTTAAACGTATGCGAGCGAGAGAAGTGGCTTCCAAGCCTATCAACTTAACATTCCCCCACATTAAACACGGCAATCTGGCCCACTAATTTAAATTGATACATCAAAGGCCCGCCATGTTGGGTATACTCCAGATGAATTTCAAGGTCTTACAATTTACTATTGGAGAGAACTGCCTTCAAGTACCCGTATTAACTTCAATACATTTTGCCATCTGAAAATAAATCACACAAAGCAATGATTTGTTTGCGGGGGAGAAAGTCTACTTCTCAGCTGAGGCAAATCTAAAAAATAAGAAGTAGTGAAAAAGTTTTTTTAAAGGCCTCGTAGGGACAAAAAAAAAGAAAAAAAACGACATGAAATACATCAGAACTTAATTATGTTGGGAAGGGAGACAGCACACCGGCATCACCACAATGATGGAGAAGGCAGGGACGGGGGTCCCTGCAGAGGGAAGTGGGACGGAATCCATGCCGGGCGTCTTGGTGGTGGTCAACGCACCCACTGCCCTCTGTGGCAGAACCCAACTGGGAGGTCTTGACCATCCGGAAATCCCACTCTCACCCCTTTTTCATTTTTTGCCCTCCCCAGTACCCCTCCCCAGTGTGCCAGCTGATCCACAGCCACAAGCCCGTCCCAAAGTCGGCCCTGAGCAGATAATGACTAAAACCTTTTATGCTTATTTTTCAAATTGAAAGCTTAGATTATACGTTCATACTTAAGAGCTTACATGGTGTGACTGTGTACTCTGGCTGAAGTCCCCGCTACCCATCATCCCTTTTTGAGTAGTGGGTGGGGTTGGAGGTCCTCATAATGACTTTTTAGTTGACCACAATCCAAAACTGGATCTAAATCCCCAGAGATTACAAACAGGGCTGCAGCTAACATGCACTTTGTGTGCCAAATATCCCCCAGACTGCATGGATATTCCCTGGCCTCAAAAGAACTATCTGTAGACGTCTGGCCAGGAACAGAGTGGTCACTCATCAAATGTATTAAGACAAGTGGGGCAGTCCAGATACAAAGCCCAAAAGACGCACTGTGTTCCTTTGCTTTATTGCTGCCCTCTCTTTGTTCTTTTACTGTCCCACCCTTGTAAGAGTGAGTGAAGCTGGCAGGTTTTTATTGTCTTCCTGTGTCTCAGAGGTGAAAAGACACCGACGCAGCCTGGGCTCCGGGCCAGTCCCCTGGGGAGCACTGCCTCGCGGGCCCCTGCCCCACTGCAGCAGGGCCGACCCCGTACCCTGACCTACACCTGGAAACCACCTCCCCCCTCCAGCATAACAGGGTCCTCACAGCCGGCCATGGCGGGACAAAATGACATCACATTCCCCAATTCCTATTCTGGAGGAGTAAATCACAAGTATCTGACATGCTTGGAAATGCCCCGGTGTGCATTAACGGTGACAAAAGGCAAAAAGGTTGACACTAAGCCGCCACCAACAATGCGATGTGGAAAATGACTAAGATCAGCAAAAGGGTGAGGCACTGTAGTCAGGCCAACCGCGGTGGAGATAAAGAAGACACAAAGAGGGAAGGGGTGAAGCACTCCTTACATGACGGGGGTCAGCAGCAGGCGAAACTGCAGGGTGGTGCAGCGACAGCCACGCAGGGGCCGCGAAACCTCGCTCACGGCGGAGCAAAGGGAGCGCAGGTCGAAGAGAGGAGAGAGGGAGGAGCAGAGTTAGCTATCCTCTTCCTTCAGACCCGGGAGGCGAGAAGGGTGGAGATAAGAAATCGTGCCATGTCAGGATTGGGAGCATGCTGGGCATTGGGGGGACGGGGGGGGGGACTGTGTGTGTGTGTGTGAGGGACGAGGATGTGGGGGGTTGGAGGGCACGATAATTGTGATATACATACACACACGCACGCACGCTCGCAATGGGAGGCTGATGGGTAAACAGGCGGGGCAGGGTGGTGGGAGGGGGGAGCGGGGCTGGACTCTGCTCCTGAATACCGAACAGAGGATCAGGGACGAGGCTGTCGGGACCCAAAACGACCGGCCTCTGCTCCAGACGGCATCAAGATGCAAAACGTCAGTAGGGGAATGTTTGAAGACCCCCTCCAGTCAAAGATGTCTTCCCTTCCCTTGAATGTTTGACTTTCGCTACACAGATTGATGCGTGTGCAGAGGTTGTCTCTAGACACTAGCTGCCCAATTCCTCTGCTGGAGGAGGAAAGCTTCTCTGTGCTTTTCCTGAAATCTAAATTTGCGCACACAAGCTTGTTACATCAAAGATAGTTTAGAGGACAATTAGGAGAGTCGAGACCATTTACAATGTCACCGTGTTATTTTGACTGAAGCACATGCAGTGGAATAACACAAATACGACTACGACAAAAAACGCATTTTTCATCAAAATGAGTATTTCATGCGCCTACCTGCAGACTGTGAGGCAGAGGGTGCCGCAAGCTGCGGCCCCCAGCAGGCTACTCATCAGGTTGACACTGTGGGCCGGAGGGAGTGAGGGCAGGAGACACATAGCCAGACGGGCCAGCAGGGTAAAGACCGGGTATCCTGGAGGATGGGCCACCTAATAACGAGAGAGACAGAGCATGACGCGATGAGAGAACAGCGACCTCACTCGAGATGCACATGTGTGTATGTAAAAGTGCAGATGTGCTCCTTGTGCTGAAAAGATATGAGGAGTGGAGATAACAAGGATACATGAACCAGAAGGACGGATGAGGAGGTGACCAGGAAACATGGGTGAGGCTTCACTAGTCCCCTAGTTTGCCCTTAGTGGGACATCTGGTTGCACTTCTGCCCTCGATGTGCTGCAGTCATGGAAGAGACCCAAACCCCCCCGGGCCTGACGACAAGCCGACTACCATGACTCCTTCTACATCTCCTCGCTTCTTTCTCTCTTGCCTCTTTTTCCCAAGGACAGTGCAGGACAGGCTTCCTAAAGCCTGTGGGGCAGCACGTGGTGCTCGTCACCCCATCCCCCACCCCCCGGCCCACAAACCACCTCCAAGTCGCAGCCATTCTCACCAGGGGGGTGGGGGGGGCTGGAGGGGTCTCAGCGATCACAGCAATTAGCCGCTAAGACTCCCTCCACCCAGATAAGGGCTCAGTCATTAAACACAGACTTATTCCCTGGCACAGATAACGCGAGGCGCGCAGAAGGGGCGGCTCCTCACACGAGCACAGCGCCGAAAGGTGAGGGCTCCTCGGTTGCACTCAAACGTAGATACGACCCCACCCAAATCGGAGGGACGGGGAGGGAACGGCACATGGGCGTCTGAGGGAGTCAAGGAGCGTGAGAGGATAAATGAGAGAAAAGACAGCAGGACCACATGTCAGCGTCAGACGGGTCTCAGCAGGAGTGGACGGATATGCAGCGGAGGCACATCCGGGGGACACGGGGAGGCAATGGGGGAGGCAGAATTCTGGATCCGGATCCGCTAGGGGCAGCGGCCTGGGGCCCGAATGAGGAACTGCGAGGCCCCCGGGGAGGCCTACAAGGCAGACGGGGAGGCCACACGGACTGCAGCACTAACGGCAGGATTACTGGCATAGTGACACCGACACAGCCTCCCTAAAAGGATCACAGCAGCGTAATAAACTTTATTAAATAATAAAACTTATTATAACTGTTAACCCGATTTAGTTCATTCTTCCCGGCTTACACACACACACAAAAAAGAGGGGTGGATATAATAAGCCTTATACCGTACATAAGGCAAAGCCTACAAAAGCCATCGCCTTACCATTGACTTTAATTGGATTTGAAAAACGGGTTGCAAATGATGGCATTCTCTACTTGCAACTTAGTAAAATAAGTGTATAGAAAAAAAGGGGGGAAACCTGTGGACTGAAAGTAAATTAATCTGCCCGTGCTTAATTAAACTTCCTTAATGCTTATAAGAGTTAATGAGTGAATTGATTAAACAATACAGCTAATACTTACCCCCAGCTCACAAGCAGTGGTGATCAGCTCTCCTGTGGAAGAGAATAGGGGGTGAAATTAATGTAAACCCAATAATTATTATTAAGAGACAAGTCTGCTCCCAAAGTTTTCCCAAATCAAATACTTGCACTGGGGTTTTGCATTAATTTTCCAGGATCAAAACCTACAAATCTTCCCAGTGTGACATTTCCTAAGAGGCGCGCTCATTCTCTTCATCTCTCGCGTCTCCCCTGATGCCTGCCTCCCCGTCTCCAGCACGTGCACGCAGATATAAACACACACACACACACACACACAAAAACCAGTCCACTCCCTCTCCAGTGCTCTGTCACACAAAGACACAGATCTGAAAATAATGCTTCCAGTCCCATCCTCCCCGTGCACCAGGGTCCTTCCTCTTTCTTCTGCTGCTCTACGTGCCTCCCTCTCCTGCTCCCACACTGCCGATGCCTCAGTGTCTCGTTGAGTCCGTTGGGCACAGACAGAAAGGCGACGTTGGTGACAGCCACAGAAAGAGGTAAGCTGTGAGAATAAGAGCCGGTTGCACACATTTTTTGACAAGCTCTGTGTGAGGCGCAACACAAAGTGAAAAGAAAAAAGCCCTAAGAGCTATTTGAGGAAGCTTTAATGTATCTGGGCACAAACCCATTTGTGCCAGAATACACCCAGAGCGTTTCAAATTATACTGATTTCTCACCCAATGTTTGCATCTCCCACTCATGGAAATTGAAATTTGGTTCAGATTAAATTACATTGATTAATGTTTAAGGGTTCGAGACAGCTCCCTCTACTGGTGCAAGACGGGTACTCATCCAATTAGTCAGTGGCCTCGTTTCCTCCATCAGCACTGTCGGGATAGTCGGTGTAGGACCGGCATTCAAGTGAGACGCCTTAGTAAATTATAACAAAATGGCAAAGGGTCAAATAGCTTTTTAGGCAAACAATTAAAATAGCGTCAGTTATTTTCAACCAACGCATCAAAGTGTTTCTGCAGGTTCAAAATAAACATTTGAGAGCAGCGCGCTGATGCAGCACCATTATAGAACATGAACGTCTGAGTTTCAGGTGGCGTCGGCTGAATCACGTATTTTGCTACCTTGCCGATACAACGAATTGTTATGCCTAAATTTCTGCCACATGAGGAGCCCTCACTCTTATCACTCTAATGGACCATGAAGTCAGAACTCCTGCACCTGCACAGCTTAAACTCAGCTCCATTTCACCTTGCACGAGCTGCCAGCTCGCTACCAGCCATCGTTTTACATCACACTTTCTCATCCCTCATCAATTTCACTCATTTCCCCTCGGTGGTGACACACTTTTTACACCATTCAACGCAGAAAAAACGCAAACTTATACGGAGGCAAAACATCAATCTCAGTGCCACAGAGATGCAGTTCTGCAGCCCCAATGCTAAAAAGGGAAAATATCGACTCAACGGGGTAGCAGCATGGGTGCCAAGAGTCTTTGTGATAGTGGAGCATTGGGCACCCACACCAGTCTTCCCATAATCCCCATCATTTCCACACTCCACATTCCTAGACAACAGCGTACCCGCGGGCCTGCGCTCAAGCCTCTCCAGGGCACATCACACCTAAAGAGATTAGGACAGAGAGACGGAGACCTGGAGAATTCAGGAGGGTGTTCAGCTGGCACTATCAGAGCGGGCATCCTGCATGGTCCCTAAACACTGTGGAGAAGGGGCTGGCCTCCCCCCCCCCCAAAAAAGGAACCGTTCGCTAGGCAGCAGCTCAACCAGTGGGGCCACTCGGCGCTCCAATTTCCGGCTCCCTCCTCGTCTCTCCTCGCCCATAACTGGCCCGAGCTTTTCACACGCTTGCTTTCTGCAGAATGAGAATTCCCCTCCACAGCGGCTCGCGTTGCCAGAGCAGAGCGAACCTAACAAGCGCAGCCTTCATGCCCTCGAGTCCACATTTACTAGTTTGTAACCTTGCTATCACTTTCAAACACTGTTTGTAATTGCGCAAGGCACTCCTTCGTAAACTGCATTACACAAATGTTGTCAAATTTGCTGGGCTACAACATAGGAAGGTAAGGAGTGAAGTACATTTGGGACCATTGGCGAGGCTGGTCACAGAGCTGTTTATAAATATGCACACACATTATATGAAATGTAGACAAATGAAGCAACATTGTTTATACGTTGACAATAATTCTTCATTACAAACGGTGTCTATATTACCTGCCGTGGTCTTGGATTAGGAATTATAAATAAATGCTTTACTATTGTTTTCCCCTTGTGGCTTCTGAAGAAAGAACAGCAAAAGTTTTTAAAGGATATTTTTTTCAAATATGTGAAAGGGAAATTATTTGAACACAGTCAACGTCTTTCCAAGAAATAGGAAAACTAAATTGTTTGATTATAGTTTTCCGACTGAGGTCTATCAAATGGTCAAAGCTAATATTGTGATGATGATTGTGAAGATGAACTCGTGTTCAAATGTATTTTGATAAATGGTTTTATATTTCCAAGAATCTGCTGGATCATAAAGTAACACTGAATTCCTTCTAAAAGCTGCATATACATTTTAAAACGTTTTCAAAACTAATCTTTGAAATGTAATATATAAACTGAGTTGCAATGATCGCGCACGTAACAAAGAAGTACACCTATTTATTTCCACCAGAATGTTCGTCCATCAGGCGGTATCTCAAATGTACTTACTCTTCATTTAATTCTGCCTTCAACTTCCATTCAAAATACTTTAAGTTATTAGCGAATGATGTCCACTGTTTCTTCCGTCAATCGTACTTGTACTTTAAAATGAATGCATTCGTGTGTTTATGTATGTATTTTGTTTTGTGTAGGCTTCAGCCTCTCCAAGCACCACGGACAGCACCCGTTTAGCTGCTGCAGCTACAAGCCGCCCCGCAATTGGTTGCTTGGCGACACAACAGAGTCACATGACCAGAGGAGCGTGAGCTAGCTGGCTAGCACCGACCTGAGTCTCCACCGGGAACCGTTCTCTGCACACATGGCACGTACAGAGCGGCCACAAAGGCAGCCGTAGCGCCCGACAGTATCCAGCTTGTCCTTGGCTCCGCTGCCATTGTTTCTGGGTAAATAGTGGTAGTGGTAGTGTTCGAACGACTGCCAGTGACGTTAGCTAGCTGGATGCCGTTAGCAGATAGCTAGCGTTAGCATCATGGACTGTGAACATAGCATCCATTAATTAGGGTCCGGGGAGCTGCAAAGATAACTGTCCGCTACTAGTTAGATGAACGCCGACACTAGTCGAGAGCTGGAGTTAATTTATTATGACACAAAGAAAACCAAGATAACTTCGGTTGTATGTGTTGCGGTATAACAGCGTTAGCTAAAATGAAAGCCTACTGTTCCCGGGGAAAAGCAGCTCAGTTCACGCCAGCGACATAATCTCGCGATACTACCTGAGTGATTTATATTGGAGGCATGTGAA